GTGTGCCGCAGCTCCTCGCGAGATGACCCGAGATCACCCGAGATCACCCGAGAGTAGGTACGCTTGCCTCTTCGTCTCGCAGCACCTCGCGCGTGCGTGCGGCGCGAGGGGCGGGAGTACCAGGCGGCCGCGCGAGAGTAGCCGAGAGGAGCCGAGAGGAGCCGGGAGGAGCCGAGAGTAGCCAGAGAGGAGCCGAGAGGAGCCGGGAGGAGCCGGGAGGAGCCGAGAGTAGCCGAGAGTAGCCGAGAGTAGCCGAGAGTAGCCGAGAGGAGCCGAGAGGAGCCGAGAGGAGCCGAGAGGAGCCGAGAGGAGCCGAGAGGAGCCGAGAGGAGCCGAGAGGAGCCGAGAGGAGCCGAGAGGAGCCGAGAGCAGCCGAGAGGAGCCGAGAGGAGCCGAGAGGAGCCGAGAGGAGCCGAGAGGAGCCGAGAGGAGCCGAGAGGAGCCAAGAGGAGCCGAGAGGAGCCGAGAGGAGCCGAGAGGAGCCGAGAGGAGCCGAGAGGAGCCGAGAGGAGCCGAGAGGAGCCGAGAGGAGCCGAGAGGAGCCGGGAGGAGCCGGGAGGAGCCGGGAGGAGCCGAGGGGAGCAGAGAGGAGCAGAGAGGAGCAGAGAGGAGCAGAGAGGAGCAGAGAGGAGCAGAGAGGAGTCGAGAGGTGAGTCGAGATCGCAATCTCCCGGGTGGCGACCTGGCCGGTGGAGGCCGGGTCTCCCGCGAGCTCCGCGAGGAGCGCGAGCAGAGGCGCTGGGAGGGCGGCACGGCCCATCCCGCCGACGACGCGGCCAGCGGCGGGCAGTGCGAGGCGCAGAACATCGGAGTGGCCTTCGCATGCGAAGCCGACAAAGTAGCACAGGTAACCGAGCGAGGCGGTGCACGTGCTCGCAATGATTGCCACGCGCCGGCCGTGAAGATCGGAGAGCCGGCCGAAGAGCGTGGATCCGGCGAGTGCTGCAGCATTCGCCGCGCTCATAATCATGGCGTAAGAGGTGGCGCCGATGACTTTGCTCTGTACGAGCTGCGGGTAGACGGGATTGACAAGTCCGACGGTAAATGTGTCAACGAAAGTCAAGCATGTCGTGAGAAGCAGCATGGTGGGCGTGTAGAATGGCTTGCGACGATTTTTGCAGCTGGGTTCCAACTTTTTGCGGGGCACGGTATGGTAGCCGGCCCAAAGGGTGTGACCGTCATCGCCCGTCTTGCGTCCACCCATACCGCGTTGGTGTCCCAGTCGTTGGTCGGACTGTGTTTCGCCTTTTCCTATATCAATCAATCAACTAACTGACGTATCTGGTCCTGGCAGTGGCATGCACCGCGCTGCGGCGCGTGCCACTGTCTTTGTTTGAAGTAAAAAGTCGAATCAGAGCGGTGTCAGCGCTGTCCCGCGATTTTGTCCCCCGGACCGCCCGTCCGGCACCGCTCCGGGACGCACGCCGGCGAAACACCATCAAGCTGCTGTACGGCCCCGGCATCGCCTCCCCTGGCTTAGCTAGATTGCGAGAGAGAT